TCCACCATTTTCCTCCCACAGCAACAACCCTCTCATAACTCTCATATTTTGCATCACCAACAAAATCTCTGCCCAAGAAATCGTTGCAGTCAACAATTTCGAAAAGAACCCAAAATCATCACTCATTGTCAGCAATTCGTTGTTGAGTTCCTCACACAACCGTTCCTCACACACAAAACCATACAGATTCACAGAAGTATTCCTGTCATGAACTTACCATTTGTCGCATAATTATCTCTTCACATCAGTCATCACCCTGACGAAGGAAGCAATTTGTTCGTTTCGTTGAATCAAACTCCTCTCTGTGTTCAGTTCCATTTGAAAGCGCATTTGTAGTTTTATGATGAATGACGCGCATAGTCAGGAAGTTAACGGTGACGATAATGCGTGAATGTCATCAAACAGAAGACGAAGCGATCGATGTCAAAAGATGATCGTATTTAATCGCAGCAATGCACACACACACATTCTTTTGCACCTTAGCAGCAATAAGCGATAATATAAGAGTGCTTCAACGGAAGGCAATAATCAGCTGTATTGATTTCGTAACAAAAGCTAGTGGCCAAGTCTTCCGTTCTGCGATGGTCGTTAATGGATAAGGAAAAACAAACAATGTGCACAATGAACGAAGGATTAGGCGAACAGGCAACGTATGAAAATGAATGCACGTTCAATTAGCAATGAGCAAATACTCTCGCGTTCTTAATCCCATATATTCCGATGACGGTTCGAGGAAAGGCTCAAGCTGATCGTTTGATGAATGACAATAGAAGAACAACTGCGCTGACTAATCATTAAGTGCTATTGTTCTAGTTGTTCCATAGAACAATTTGTCTTTCATTAAGAAAAAGAAAAGCCATCCCATCCCACATATCAAACACTCAATTCGATCCTAATGACTATATTGTTAGGATCCGACTGAGTATTCGGATCACTATGTAATTATAACGGAGGCATTTATTTCCCGCAACAAATTAGATCAACTGCTGACAATTATTACCTTCAGTGGTTGGTAATTACTGGCTAGCAATTATCATTCGTATGATACACAGCAAATATTTAAATGCTTTCAGAAGAAGCAATCAAAATGGAACGTATCAAATGCGAATTCGAGTCGTATTTGATCAGCGCTATACAACTCGAGTCCGCATCAACGATGAGTGAAACGGTTCGCTCGGCAACCCAAACCGAAGCAAATTTGATCGAAAACACATTGTTTAACGGCAACTCAACATTTACAACGCAAAAAATCTCTCCAAATACCAAACAGCGCTATGAGGTTTCAGTCAAATGGTCGAAAGTGTTCATTGATAAAATCGGTTCGTCCATTGTGAGNGCGCTATACAACTCGAGTCCGCATCAACGATGAGTGAAGCGGTTCGCTCGGCAACCCAAGCCGAAGCAAATCTGATCGAAAACACATTGTTTAACGGCAACTCAACGCAAAAAATCTCTCCAAT